GTTAACAGTTAACACTTTTGTTGACATCTACATTATTTGTTAACAGCTAACATAAGTGTTAACATCTCGGCGATTTTTAAAAAAACTTCAATGCTGATTTTTTCAGAATGTGGTGAAATTAAAATAATTTAGATTCAAAAGAATAATAATAAAATTGTAATAAATTTTTTCGCAACAATTAATTTTTACAAAAAAAAAAGAAAGAATTAAAATGATAAGAGAGTTTGAGAATGAGAAAGAAGAGGAATTAAAGGAAAGAGAGTGTGAGATAGTGTGTCAGGAGAGAGAGAGTGTGTCAGGAGAGAGGGTGTGTCAGGAGAGAGAAAGAGTCACATGTAAAAGGAAGGGCAATTTGGTCTTAAAAATTATAATGTCAAATCGTGGGTATTTCACTAATATGGGAGGCTGATAGAGTGTTTCAGCCAATATTCTCTAAAATTAATTGAAACCGAAATTAAGCTTATTTTTTTTTCCGACAACACACATGTCGTAAAATAGTCAGTCCAATGGAGTTTTAGTTTGGTGTGGTTTTTATTAGTTTTATTTGGTTTAATGGAATTTAGTGTATTTTACAGGGGATTATACTGACGTCAGAATCGGAGAAGCTGCATTCAATGAATCTTTTGCTCTACATGGCTCCAATGGCAGCTTGTATCTTACTACCATTTACACTCTACATTGAAGGAAACGTGTTAAGGATTCTAATAGAGAAGGCGAGGACGGATCCACTGATCATCTCCTTGCTCGCGGGGAATGCGACAGTGGCGTATTTAGTAAACTTGACGAACTTCTTGGTGACAAAGCACACAAGTGCTCTCACTTTGCAGGTTTTGGGCAATGGAAAAGCTGCGGTGGCTGCCGGGGTTTCGGTTTTGATATTTAGGAATCCGGTGACGGTGATGGGTGTTGCTGGATTCGGAGTCACGATTATGGGAGTGGTTCTCTACAGCGAAGCTAGGAAGAGGTCCAAGTTGCTTAACCAGAAGTGAAAGTGTGGGAAAAGAGACCGGATCTAAACCGGTTAAGTTATTTTTAATTTTACTATATCTTTCGGTTTAAGTTTCTTGATTCTTTGGAATTCTGATATTGTTTTGAGCCGGTTTGAGAGGGGTGGGTGGGGGGGAAGGGAATCAAATTAATTGTAAATGGTTGATACTGATTGGGGATAAACTATAAAATGAAAGAGGAGAATATATATAACAAAGGGGTAAAAGTAGGGTGAAGACATAAGACTGAATCTTTCAGTAGTTACTACTAAATAAACATACTATTTCTAAACATTTTGTATTCTTACAATGATTTGTAATTTATGAATTTGATAGAAAAGTATTGAGCTTAGCTTAACAGTTTGTTCTTCCTCAACAAAGCAACAAAAGGTTTGCTTTTTTAATACACATAATAAGTTTTATTGTTCCTATTGTTTACTATAAATGACGAATCATACTCTATTCAGATGAAAGAAACGTGACATCAAAAATTCAATGAATTATTAAATAGGTTTTGATAAGGTTGATGTTTTAGCTAAAATGTAGGTTTAACTTTATGATCATGAGACTTATTTGTCTAGGTGTGTTCGAATATAGTAAACCTTTTTAGGTGGCAACTCTACTAGATGTTTGAGGCTTCTATATAACTAATAGAACTCTTATATTACATGCTTCATTCATAGAGAATGTAATATATCTTAGTTGTTGTGATTTCATTCTCATAATGCATATATATAATTATATATAGATCTAACGTGTTGGTTGGCAAGCCAAATTTTCTTAATGAATTTATGTTCATATTTTATTTTTTGAAAAGTTGTGTAAAGAAAATAAGAGTAGAGAAACATAATGACAGCTTATGTGAGTTTGTCTTTTGGGCCAATCCATGTGAGGTTACTAATTATATGTTATCACTTTTTGTATTGTTTTGTTTCTGTGTCTCGATGATTTAAAGTTTATTGTTTGTATAAAAGGAAAGGTAAAGCCAATAAGGGACCAAATTCATGAAAAAACTTTTAAAAAGAAAAAGAATATATGCTTATATGCCTATTTCGATACATATAATTGGTTGCTCCACTTTTGTATAATTTTTCCAAATTTTACCATCTTTACGTTTTTAATTTGTAAATAGTGATTGCTTTTCAGAATCTCTCAGTATAAGCATGCATATCATTAAATAATTTCCTTACTAAGTTTGATATTCATTAAGTTCAAACCGAGTTAAACGACACGAGAGCCGTAGGAAAATGATAGTTGTGAACCTACTACATCTTATGGTTTCAGCTTCTAACTTTCAACACTACATCTTATGTGTACATAAACACTTACCGACGTAGTGTTGTCAAACACTTAGTAACTTCTTGTTTACCAATCTCTTGATAACAGAACCCATAGAACCAACCGATTTTGATAATCTTCGTCAAACCCAAAATTTATTGGTAGGTTGGTTACGGGGACGAAATGGCTTTGAACACATCTACTGAACCAACTTGCACACATAGTATAGTCAATAGTGAACCAAGAAACAAATGAATTGTTGTTTTTGATCGAGACACTTTGCTGGGTAACTGGTAAATGTAATTCATTTATTTGCTTGATGAATTTACCACAGACGGGCTTAAGAGTGACTCAGAACCAATAGCCTTTAGGATTTCAAAATACTTTTAAAGTTTTAACTTTTAACTAAAGAAAATGAGCAAAAAGAAATGGAGAATCAACCTTTGTCCAAAAAAAGAAAAGAAATGGAGAATCAACCATACCGAACCGGTCCAACCCATGACTCAAATAAAAGGCATAGGCTTTGGCTTTGACTTTGGCTTTGCATTTGAGTCTCGTGACTAATGAAACGGCCTTTTCTCCTTTCTCCAAGTTGTTGGGAGATCGAAACACTTTCACGAGAAACCTCAGAACCTTTACAGGAAAGTATTAGTTCACATTCACCATAAATCACACCATGCACCAAAAGCTTTCTCGTGAGATCTTCCCCTTAACCACAAGATTCACTTTTAAAACGTAGTCCATGACATCCCTCTCTATATACATCAACTTGTTTGCCCGCATAACAGAGAATAAATACGTTCTTCTCTGTTTCAAGTATTCGCGTTTCTCATATCAATGGAACAAAAACAATCAACTCCTCGTTCCAACTTTGCCGACATCAATGAAGTTGAACCAGAAGAAGATGCAGAGCAAGAACCACAACAGCAAGATCACAACAACAACAAGAGGTTTTCCACTAACAGAGGACCACCAAACCGAGGGAGACAACGACCATACCGAGGTTTCAGCAGACAAGTGTCGCTAGAGACGGGTTTCTCTGTGCTCAACAGAGAATCTAAAGGAAGAGGTGACAAGAAGAGTTTACCGAGGAGTGGTCGTAGCTTTGCCGGGTTTGAAACACGCGGAATCATCAACGGTGGAGATGGTCGTAAAGGAGACTTCAGTATCTTCAGAACCAAATCAACCCTCAGCAAACAAAACTCTCTCTTGCCTTCTGTAATAAGGGAGAGAGACATTGAGAATTCTTTAAGAGGTGAAGATGGTGAGACCAAAGAAGAATCTATAAATGAAAATGTTTCTGCAGGAAGATACTTTGCTGCTCTTAGAGGACCCGAGTTAGATGAAGTCAAGGTAACAACTAACAACTCTTCTTCCTCCTCCTCTCTTCAAAGCTTAGTTAGTTAGTTCTGACTCTATTCTCTTGCAGGACAATGAAGATATTCTTCTTCCAAAAGAAGAGCAATGGCCTTTTCTTCTCAGGTTCCCTATAGGATGCTACGGTATCTGTTTAGGACTTAGCAGCCAAGCTGTCTTGTGGCTTGCACTAGCTAAAAGCCCCGCTACACAATTCTTACACATCCCACAAATGATCAACTTAGTTCTATGGCTATTGGCACTAGTAGCCTTAGTCTCTGTTTCCATCACTTACATACTCAAATGCATCTTATACTTCGAAGCTGTCAAAAGAGAGTACTTCCACCCAGTTCGAGTCAACTTCTTTTTCGCTCCTTGGGTCGTTTGCATGTTTCTAGCCATCAGCGTGCCTCCCGTGCTCACGCGAAAACCCCTCCATCCAGCCATCTGGTGCGTTTTCATGGGTCCTTACTTCTTCCTTGAGTTAAAGATTTACGGACAATGGTTGTCCGGAGGGAGAAGGCGGCTCTGCAAAGTCGCAAATCCGTCTTCTCATCTTTCTATTGTGGGGAATTTCGTTGGAGCCATCTTAGCTTCCAAAGTTGGATGGAATGAAGTAGCTAAGTTCCTGTGGGCAGTAGGTTTTGCACATTACTTAGTTGTGTTTGTAACACTTTATCAAAGACTTCCCACAAGTGAAGCTTTGCCTAAAGAGCTTCACCCTGTTTACTCTATGTTCATAGCTGCTCCATCAGCAGCAAGCATCGCTTGGAACACAATCTATGGCCAGTTCGACGGATGTTCAAGAACTTGCTTCTTCATTGCACTCTTCCTATACATTTCCCTTGTAGTTCGGATCAATTTCTTCACTGGGTTCAAGTAAGTCTTACACAGTTTCTTGGCTTAAAGGTTGTATTAATATGCAACTAAGTGGCAATCATCATGTGCAGGTTTTCACTGGCCTGGTGGTCATATACTTTTCCTATGACAACAGCATCAGTAGCAACGATAAAGTATGCAGAAGCAGTACCTTGTTATCCTAGCCGAGCTTTAGCACTCACTCTTTCCTTCATCTCCTCGGCTATGGTATGCGTTTTGTTCGTCTCCACGCTTCTCCACGGCTTTGTCTGGCAAACTTTGTTCCCTAACGATCTTGCAATCGCTATTACAAATAAAAGACTTATCAAGGAGAAGAAACCTTTCAAGAAAGCCTACGACTTGAAGCGGTGGGGCAAACAGGCTCTGTCGAAGAAAATATCTGCAGAAAAAGATATTGAACACGAGGACGAATCACATCACGGATGAAAATCATGAACAACAACACAAGGATCATTTCAGATTGACATAATAGTCGAGAAAGCATTTAGATATAGAGTTACAAGTAGGTGATCAAACTTATTGTGTATGTATCTCAAGAAGCATGTTTAATAATAATATTACATTCGCACTCAAAATCACACATTCACAAATCAAACAGGCAAAGAAATGGTCCTCTGGTTTGCTAAGTTGGTCTGTGGTCGGAGGTCCCATGAAGCAGAGTGTCGTGTTTCCTCGGGTTTAATAAAAGGCAGAGTGATCTCATTGATCATTAATTCTCCACAGAAGGGGCATTCGCTAGCGATAGCATCATCTAGCTCTGATCGAAGCTGGTTCACGGTAAGGAAAGTATGTCAAGCCGTTGACGTTAAGAGAAAATAAATTTAAATCACGAGAATTGAAACAAATGTTTCTACCTTGTCTGCAGTAGTTGTGCTAGTTATAGGTTCATCAGATCGATAACCATTTATATCCCTTCGGGTTTCGTTACCAAGCAATGTCAGCTGCTTCTGCAGATCGAGTATACGCTCGGCCTAGACAGATTTTTTTCGAAAACCAATCAGAAATTGAAATCGTAATTTTAACATGGTACACAAATCTCGCGACTTATGTATTACTGAAAGTAGAATAAAGAACCAAGCTACTGTTAAAGTAAATATGAACAACCGCTAAAACTGCAGTATATAATACGCAGAGGTAAATAAAGAGGGAACTCAGAACTTTGAGACTTACTTGCTCTTCGTGTGCACAGCTTGTGACGTGTGTGATCAGGCACTGTGCATGGAAAGAGTGCCCACAAGGAAAAACATAGAAAGGGGCCAGTGGTCCAGATGAAGTATATCCCTGAGCCATTCTGAAATCCCCGGTCATCGTCAAGATTTTACGTTTACAAACCTGGTAATACATATCGAAATGGATGAGGTGTGCTGACTATTTCGGAACTTCCAGAAACTTGATTCATATCTATCTGATAAACGCTATTTAATCCTTCTTAGGATTATCATACCCCGCATTCCTCTTCACGGTCGATTACAGCATATCTCTGAGTTAGGGCACTAATATCGTTTCTAATATTATCTGCACCACGTGTGGCATCATTCATCTCCTCTTTCAATTGTTCTATCTGCTTGTTGTAATCCTCCAGAGATGAGCAAATCGCTTCCTGTACAAGGGTATTGCCGAAAATAACAAGAGCGGAGAAGCAAGTTGGTTAAGCTAAGACAGATCTGTTTGTGTGCTTGGAAAAGAGAATAAGTTGACTAACCTTGAAGTCATCAATTAAGGCAAAGTCAGGAAAGAATGGCAAAATATCTTCAATCTTTAAAAGGCCATCAGTTTCCTTGAGAAATGCAATAGCTTTCCTTATGTTTTCCCTTTTAGCTCCCTTTTCTTGCTTGACGACATGCTTTGCAACCATAAGCCACAGCTTCTTTCTCAAGTCTTCATCATCTTCAACCTTATCAGCCTCAGCCATAGCAAGTTCAGGGTCAATCTGTAATACAGAAACAGTTGTGCTAGCGAGTTCAGTATCTTTCGATAGCAGTTTTGTTTCTTAATATGTCATCATAATCTAAAGATTGCGCACAGAAGACAGAAACAGATAATACCATTTTCGACATAAGGGGATTATTACCTGAAGAGCAAGGGCCACCGCCTCTTCGTGCATAGACATCATGCTGTATATATGGACACATGCACGAGTTCTCTTCTCCTTGAGACACAAGCGCAACGCGTATTTGGGATCGTAGAAAAATTCAGGACCATTCTCTCGTCCTTTCCCAAATTTGCATTGCAGGAAACGGAGGAGGGCACTGTCATCTTCCTATAATTGGACAAATAAAACGAAAACCTTACGTATCACTTTTCATAACTTCTTGTCATAATCTTTTAAGTGGAAAAGAAGATAGTGTCCCTCAATGTTGCTTTACAGGTTAAGTACAGGCTTATAAAAGTTTAATAACTTAGACAGAGAAAAAATATTTAAGGGACTCAACCACACCTGCTTGGCATATAACGAGAGAAGTAAATTGTGAATCCCTGGATCCTCGTTATGCAAACTATGGACGCAAAACTCAAGGTATTTTATGACTTCATGTGTCTCGTTTCTGCAGTTTTATATGAAGAGTTGTTGGTAAGACTAATAACACAGCGTGAATGGACATTGAGTTGAGAAGTGGGTAATTACTTTGCATGAGGTTCGCTTGAGTAACGCATCATTGCAGTAATAAATCTCCTTGGATTAAGATTTTTATTGGCCATCCATGCTTCCACGGTTTCATACGCGTCAAGCATAATAAGTTCTGGCGCAAATTTATACTGAAATGTGTAAAACATATTTTAGCTACAGGACGAAGCAAAGATTTGAAGACCGCATTTAAAAAAAGAACCTGGTGTTATTTTTTACACACCTGAAGCTCATCAGAAACTGAAGATTTCTGGAGCACCTCCAGAGCTTTCTTTGCTTCCCCTTGCTTACGGGTAGAGAAAAAAAAAATCAGTAAATTGAACAGCCTGAGTAATATCTCGTATCTCTATGAATCAATTAGGAATATAAAGCTTATCACGCCCTTACCTGAATATAATGGTGAATAACGATTTCATACTGCTCCTTCAGGTTCGCAAAATATACCAACTCTTCAACCCGACCATAACTACAACAAAAACAGAAAAAGAAGGAAAGAAGAAAATTAGCGATGTTTCATACTGCAAGCAAGATATATCCTAGGAGATGTGCTTAGAACAATATTAAAGAGAATTGCTTATTCCAGAAACTAATAAACACCATCATCATAAAGGTATCAATGCTCACTGGATTAAAAATAATTTTAGTATATTGGAAATTACCTCTCCAGAAGTTTCATGGTGGTTGCCTCATCTAATACATCCTTGCAGTCGCTCATGAAAGCACGGAATTCTTGAATGACTGAGTGATACTCTGAGTTACGGTTTTCTATAGCAGTATCATCTTCCAAAAGCAGCCGATTTATCTATCCACATTTAAGAGCCAAAACACAGAAATAAGATAAGACAACGAAATAAACCAGAAAGAAAAATCAACAAGAGGAAGTATGACACTATACCAAATGAAATATGAAAGCATATAATATTTATTGAACATAAGAGACCCAATATATGTGTTTACTAAAAAGAGAGAACAGAGAATAAGTTGTGCACAGAAGCAAAAGTTAAACCTTGTCCAGATACAGCTCAGTTAACCATGTTGATATCATTGTAATTTGGCATTTATCATCCTTTGAAAGAGTATCAAGCTTCCGCAGCAGGAATGTTCTCAAAGCTTCCTGCAATCACATAAGCAATATAAACAGGTGATTAAAGTCCACATGTGAAACACATAATTATTTCCTAAACAGCAAGCACTGAAATAGAGATTGTTGTTCTGAAACGCGCTTTATGGTATATATATATAAAACAAGCAAGAATACAAATGTAAATGTTTACCGGTTCGTTGATACTAATAAACTTCAACGTGACCTCTTCAAAAGATATTACATAATTGATCTGCAAAGAAAACATGTTCCCACATCAAAATGAATAATACCATGCTAGAGCAAAGTAAAACAAAGGAGCTAAAAATTACTTTGGCATAGAATGATGCTGCGCGTAGATATTCTTTGTCAGCAAATGCTGCTTCTGCCTACAAGAGAGGGTGCAAATTCACACATTATCAAAACAACAGAGATTTGTTTTGGCAAACGGGCTAAACGCAGCCGACAGAGATATTAAGATGATAAAAAGGAATTGCATATGACAGGAAAGGCATGAGAAACATGTCCGATTAACTAACTGACGGTCACAGACATCAAAGATCACCTGAACTAAATAAACTTGGTCTCTCTGGATAGGGTCACGGCAGTTGGCTAGAGCTGCAGCAAAAACTTTCAAGTCTAGGTAAACCTTCCACATATCTCTGCCTTCATCAATCACAGAAACCTAGAGAAGATATCCAAAACCCACAATTGAGAAGAAAAAGTACAAGATATAGTTAATTAAGATCATAATAAACGAGTACAGGACAACCCCCAAAACAGACCTGGAAGATCGAATTCTGATCATACGCATAGAAAAGACCAGCAGATGCATCGCTGCAAAGTCCAATTATGCCCCTCGAAGCTGAATCTGCCGTTATATCAAACTGGAGCTCTTCAATGATTTGTTCACTTATCCGATTCACAACCTAACCCCACATATAAGGAATGCAGAAACCAGAAAGTAAGACCACTAGTGAAACAAAACACATATGTAGCCAGATGAAACTGTAACGAGGAATGTATCAACTACATGTGTCCAAAACATACCTTAACCTTATTCCCAATAAGAAGCAAGAAATGATATTCTGAGAGTGCCATCGAACTAGGCTTGACTATTTCAGTGCCATCACTCAGTTTTGAGTAGTCCAAGAGCGCTTTGCTCTCCACAAAGTTCTCATCACCATTTGGGTAACTACCAAACAAGTAATAGAATGATATTACCAAAAAAATATGAAAGAGGGTAACAAACACAAAGATCCCAGTAATTAATTCACAGAGATATTGGTACCGTCATTCTACCTGTGTTGAGCACCAAAATTTAGGCCACCATGATAAATTCCTGTTCCTGAAAGCCACGCAAAATGCACGGCTCTTCGTTGCTTTATAAAGAAATGTAGTTCACTGAGAGATGACAAACACTATATGGTCAGAGAGCAGGGTTACGCTTTCTGATTACGCAAATGAGCCTAAGGTAGTTCGCACTTGCCTGTTTGGTATTTCCCCAGGAAGTTCCATAAAATGAACTGCACGTTCTTTATAACTAGCAAAAACAGACTGGAAGTAAAGGCTTAGTAATTAGAAACTGAATAACGAAACTTTAGGAGATCATAGATGTGGAAAGCAAGAGGATCTAAACAATGGGAGGCTGCATCTAATCTTTTGGTGTCATATTTGAAGGGGGATATAATCAGGATTCACCTCTGAAGCCTAACCATAGAACCATAGAGAATAACACTAGTACATAAGTTTCCAATTGACTAATAGCATGAACCTTAAACTTAATCTCTAATGCTACCATTTCATTTCATGATTATAAATTGATTTTACTATCATGAAACTAAATGTTCCCACATAAGTTATACAACGGGTGACAGAAGTCATCGCATAGCAGAACAGAGTTTAGCTTACCTCTAATGTTCCAATCCCGGTGAACGAGTAGAGTCGAGTGGGAGTTACAGCCATCACATAGTACCTCATTCCACTGCTTATGTTGGCTGTTTCCATCTGCACAAAAATACAGTTAGGAATAATAAAGCCAAGGAAGGAAATCTGGTTTGCTGGGAGAGACTAAAACTCATCCAGGATAAACTCATTCACATTTAATGGCTTATCAAACAAACTGAACCGAACAAAATAACCGCCACTAACTTAACTAATACAATATCAACAAAAATAACATACTGGCCATTACAGCTTCACCTCAAAATACAAAGGTCGTACCTGTAAAGCCATGAAGGCCTCGGGGAGTTCTTCTAGTTCGAACAAAAACTTGATGTACTTCTCTCTCTTATCTTTCTCATCAACAGCCATCTCAAATAGCTGCCCATCTTCAGTGCCAAGGATGATCTCCTTAGTCGAAACTGAATTCAGAGAATAACAAAACAAAATCAATATCCATGTGAAACAAAAACAAAAGGAGACTCATCACAACACGGAAGTATAACCTTCTGTAATCTGTTGCCTGTTCCAAGCCACCGAGTTAACCAGCAAACCTTTCAAGCGGCTCAACACACGAGGCTTAGGCCATTTAGCATGAGTATAAAAAGTTTCAGCTCCTCCAACACCAGTGACCGTAGCAATGCAATGGCTACCACCAGGATCAACAAAAACCTTGTGAATCGATTGCTCCCCAGTTCGACCAACAGAGAGATCAATCTCTATAAATCCAAAACAAAGATTATTATACATCTTACCCCTGAAAAAAAATGATTTGTCTATATGATGTAAAAATGAAGTTATACCGTTAGAACTCCCAACTCCAAAATCATGGCGGATGATCCATCCTTTGCATGTTCCAAGAACAATTACATCGTTTCCAGCAGCCATACATGTGATCATGCCACGATTCTTCGAGGCAAATCTCTCTAGAAGATCAACTGAAAACACTTGCCTTCCTTGATCCATCTCTTCCTCCTCTTAGCTAACACTGTACACAAAAGAGACTTATATAAGCTATCATCCAGATTTTGAGCTTTTGACCTAATCTATCTATCTACCTACGAGATTCACGGTTGAGAGAGATCGATTCTGGTTCTCAATCGAAGAATTAACACATAATCCGACTCAAATGTGAAAAATATCAAAAACTTCCAATACATAGGATCAATTCTGGTTCTCTCGAACTTTTCTAAGAAGGTTTCTCTGCATTTCTTACAACAATCGGAATCGTTACCTCCGTCGTGGATCCGATCGGCGAGCAGGAGAAGATGTCGGTCCCGGATAAGAAACGACGCCGTCTCTCGAGTGGCTTCCGACGTATATATTTCTCTCTCGAATTAACTAATTAATTAGTGAAACGGCAGCGTTTTGAATTAAAAGGTGCCGTACTGGTCAACAAGTTAACCAGCTATAAACCAGACAAACCGGATTAATGGTATAAATTGAAGGAAGCGCAATTGAATTAGTGCTTTTCTAAGAGAACCAATTCGATAACTACAAGTACCCGGTTTAGTCTAGTTAGATTACATGATCATCATTCATGATTTTCTTTTTCAAAATATTAAAGAGTTAATTAGGAAAACATAAGTGTTGAAACTTCCTTTTTCCCTTGTGCTTACGGATTCCTAATTACATTCTAAAAACAGTTAAACTGGCTATATAAACTTAAGCTCAATCAAAAGAAAAACATATTGGTTTTTTTTTTGTTTTGAGTAATGGAATCGTTACCTCACCATGTGGTTGAGCTTATCCTAGAGAGACTTGAGTGGAAACCTCTCATGAGATTTAAATGTGTATCAAAGCAATGGAAATCAACAATCGAATCCGAATACTTCAAACAAAGACTGTTGATTCGAGATCCGAGTGCTCTTCTTCAAGTGGTTGTTGTTCCTACACATGAAATAGATACAGCGGAGAGGGTCGAAGATGATAATGCACAACATTCTCAGATATTCGTATTTTTTATTTACGTCCTAATGTTGTTTTTGATGTGCTTTCCCTATGAAATTTTCGTTTAACTTTACCGGGAACCATTTGTGGAATCATTTGTGAAGTTGTTCATCAAAATCGCATATATTACAGTAGTTGATCATCATATGCAATGGAGTTAAAGATTATATGATGATATAAACCTTTTTTTTTGGGCAACTATATGATGATATAAACCTATCATCCTTTTTTTTATAGTTAAGTTTATCTTCAATAAAACTATTTATTTTACTATATTTCACTTACACTTGACATGCCTAGTTCTTGTAGACGATAATAACATGCGATATATCTATGTATTCCATGTTCATCTTATTTGTAAATTTTTTTTGTTACATAGTCATTCGCCTACTTAGCTTTGACAATATGGTTTGGTTACATGTTAATATCTTCATCTCATTGTATCGAACCGTGACGGTTTAGATTCTGTTATTGGTAACTTGCGTTGTCCTTGTTGTTATAAACGTATCAGAAAAGTCTGTGAAACATGTAAAAAAATCTCAAAAAGTTTGTCAACAAAAGAATTAAACCTTTTCTAATCTCTGAACACTACTACACTGCACATTCTCTATGCAAAAAAAGAATTGTAAAAAAAAAAGAAGCTTTTCATCATGATCCAAACCCGTTTCTGATAGATTCAAGAACCTGCACAACCTCAGCCATACTCGGTCTCTTCAACGGATTCTCGGACGTGCAAAGCAGTCCTAACTTCATAACTTGAATCAGCTCATTCTCTTCAAACTCTCTCAACCTCCTGTCAAAACAATCAGAAGCTGAACCAGTCTCCAACATATCCCTCACATAATCTCTCAATATCAACACTTGGTTCCTCGATGGTGACTCAACAGGTTTTCTACCTGTCACCAGCTCAAGAAGCACCACACCGTAGCTATACACATCACATTTCTCACTAGCTTTCAAACTCTGTTGCCCCAGCTCTGGAGCAATGTAACCAACCGCGTTGTGGAACTTCTTGGTCATACCAAAACTGTCTAGAACCGGAAGAAACTTCTCTAACCCGTAATCTGATAGCTTTGCTTCGTACTTTTCGTCTAGAAGAATGTTAGTGGACTTCACATTGAGATGAAGAACCGCTGGTTTACAATCATCATGAAGGAAAGAGAGAGCTTTTGCTGTTCCTAAAGCAATCTGAAACCTTCTGTGCCAATTCAAATCAGTATTACCATGGCTTGTGCTGGTTCCAGGGTAGATTCTTGAGTGTAGATTATCGTAGAGGCTACCGTTAGGGACAAAGTCAGAGAGAATCAACTGCATTGTTGAGGAGAAGTAGTAGCCTTGGTAAGAAGAGAGATTAGGATGTTGCAAACCTCCAAGGCGTCCAAGCTCTTGCTCAAACTCTTCTTGGTTTCTGATTCTTCCTAATGTCTCAAGCTTCTTCACTGCTATGGATACTCCACCTTCGAAAGAGGCTCTGTAGACTGATCCAATGGATCCCATTCCGATTATATTGTCCTTGTCGAGCAGAGCTTTAGTACCAGCTTCCCAATCTTCATACTTTGAAGGTAAGTTCTTGCTGAAGAGAACAAGCTTTCCTATTATCACACCACCGCTTGAGGAGTTTATTGAAGAGGCTAGAGGAGTGGTTTCGAGTGTGACTACATCTTCTTCTTCATCTTTTCTTCTTTTACGAGCTCTAAGGTTCAAACCAAGCACAATACAGACACCAAAGAGGATCACAGCTGCAGCTACTATGACAATGATAACCGAAACGCTTAGAGCTTGAGAGCTTCTTGACTTTGCTGTGGCGGCTCCACGTGAGTTGCAAGGAGTAGTTACAAGAGGCTCACCGCAAAGGAGAGGGTTGTTTTCAAATGCAGTGGAGCCAAAAGCTTGTAACACTTTAACAGGAGGGATAACACCGGAGAGGTTGTTGTAGGAGACGTTGAAATGCGTTAGCTTATTCAAGTTACCGAGGGAAGACGGGATTGAGCCTGAAAGAGAGTTCTGTGAAAGATCAAGAAACTGGATTCTGGAGAGGCTTCCAAGCTCAGGTGGAATACTTCCATTGATACGGTTTCTATGCAGATCAAGAATCTCTATGTTTGTTAAGTTTAGTAGCTTCTTAGGGATCTCTCCTTCCAAATCATTCCCTGAAACATCTCTGCAACCAACAAAAATGAGAGACATTCAAACACAATAACAACAACTGATACAAATCAGCTAAAACATCAAATTCAAACTCACAGTTCAAGAAGTAATCTGCAATTGGAGACATCCTCTGGAATCTCACCAGTAAGGTTGAGATTATGGAGATTCAAAACCTGTAGATACTCCAAACTTCCAATCTCCTTTGGTATCTCCCCATCTATAAAGTTATCACCTAATCTAACAACCGAGAGCTTCTCCATCTTCCCAATACCTCCAGGGATACTCCCATTGATCTTGTTAGACTCCAAGTCCAAAAGCTTGAGACTTTTACAACCAGTCACACCACTAGAGATCCCACCGGTCAACTCATTAGAAGAAGCATCCAAAAACTCCAATCTCTGACCACAATCAACCACCTCTCCAATCTCCCCACCAAACCGGTTCCAAGAGACATTAACATAAGTTATATTCACAAACCCAAGAACCTCAAAAGGCCCTAACCCTTGAAACATATTACTCCCCAAATCAACATGGCTCAATCTCTTACACTTCACCACCTCCTCAGAGACATCACCAGACAATAAATTGTTCCTCACTGAGATATACTCAAGCACAGGGATATCACAGATCCTAGACGGCAACACTCCGTTAAGACTGTTGTAAGAGAAATCAAACCCTTCTAGATTATTACATCTCACTACTGTATCAGGGATTGGTCCGGAGAGATTGTTATGAGACAAAGACACGAACTTGGTCTTGTTACAGAACATAAACAGAGAAACAGGAATCTCACCAGAGAAACCGTTTCTAGACAAGTCGAGAAACCTTAAACTAGACAAACCACCGATAAACTCCGGTATCGGACCAGACAACGCATTGGAGCTAACGTTAATGGTCCATAAAGTCTGTAACTTTGAGTAATCCAACGGTAGATTACCTGTAAACCTGTTGCCAAACAAAGTCAGAACACGAATAGACTTTAGACCGGAGAGACTCGGGGTTAAAGTTCCGGCGAGACTTGTGTTCCAGAGAACGATCTTGTCAACGAACCCTTGTGGGTTACAAGTGACTCCGTTGAAGCTGTTGCAGAGGTCTCCGTCGTGGGTCCAAGAGGCTAAGCTGTTGTAAGGATCGTGAGTGATGGTGTCTTTGAACTGAAGCAGAATGTCTCTTTCTTCTTGGATTGTAACAAGAGAAGTTGCAATGTAGATGAAGTTGACCAGAACCAGAAAAAGGTAAAACCTTTTCATTGTTGTGTGTACTCAGGAGGTGATAAAACGGATCTACCCAATTGACATTGCCGGGTTCAGGATCCGAAACACCGAACCCGGTTCGTGAAATCTTCAATTTTTTTCTTCAAGAATCAAGAACAGAGTAGTTGCATTTACTAAACACAATGAAACGAAACGGTTTGATTTGTGTCTTGGGATTGAGAGAGAGAGAGGTCAAGCTAAGAACTTTTCAACTGTTTTCGCATTTATGTTAGGTCATCCCTTAACGGCTACAAAAAAAAATTACCGACCAAAGGTCAAAACTTTCGTGAAAACGACAAAAGAAAAGGAATCAGAGAGTCAGCGAGACACAAAATGAGATTTTGAGGTTCTGCAAGTTTTGCGAATCAAACTGCAGAAAAAGAGAAGGAAAGAAGTAAAGCTCAGCTCTTCTTGCAATACAGAGAAGAGAGTGGGTTTCTTGTGGCTTGGCTGGAAAGTAAGCTTCTCTCTCTCTGGCTTCCACCAAATGAAGAAGAAGCACGTGTTTGGTTGTTTGTTCATCACCTATATGTTTTTATTATGTAATGTTAAGGGGGAAAGAGTAAGTGTCTGCTTGTCTGTACCTTCTACCAAAGCATTTATTCTCTTCCTTCACCAACCAGGTTTCCATTAATTTAATGACTAAAATAAATAGGTAAAGCCAACAACTAGTTATGGTCCCAGTCTAGTTGTTAGTTTCAGACTGTATTCAATGCGTGTTACAGAGAATTGGACATTTCATTCATCTGTAAATGATCAGAAACTATTATGATTAAACATATTTGTTTTTTCTAATACTCCAGGTGTTACTAATATTTGAGCATTATGTAAATCAGACATGGCTTCTCTAATCATTTGTTGTTGATTTGTTTTCTTAAAGATCTATAGGTTTTTAGGTCCAACTCAAAAGTTGTATGGGGTATGGAAAGGGAAGAGAATTAAAGACAGAGACAGATGAGTGAACAAAAGTAAACGTCTTTCTGTCATTTGTTTGTTTCTGTTTTACTCAGTTTTGTTTTTAATCATTTTGTTCTTTCCTTTTTTTATTTTTTCCTCCTGATAATAATGTTCTACTTTCTGAGAGCTCAGCTCCTTTGCTCCTGAAGAATCATGAGGAGGACACACACACAGTACTCAAGATGGGTCATTATTAAAGGCACTGTGAATTGTTAAATGTTGTACAAATTCTCAGTTAGAACTTTGTAAACACTATCATTAAATGTCTCACTTCAAGTTCCAATCATGCTTTCTGTCGGAAAATCTAATCTTTTTTTAAGTTCTGAAAGCCACATTTATTTATGTCATTACAAAGCTGTGATAAATTGGTATTTGACCGTTGTTCTTCCATTTTTTTATACAAAAGCTCATATAACCGTTACTGTTAGTTCTGTTTCCCCGAAGTGAATGAACCACATGAGTTGGAGTGAAGAAAATAATAATAATTAGATTATCTAAAGAAGATATACATAAAAATCAGAACTTTGTTGTTATCTATACAAGAAAAAAAGCAGAGATATTCATTTTTCAAAAACAAAGTATAATATGATCAGTTCCAACTTCCAAGATCGTGTTAGATGGTGTGATACGTTTAGTGATTGCTCTTTTAAGCGTTAAGTGATGATGTCTCTGCTTCCTCTGTTTGCATTGCGCTTAGCTTCTTCTTTGCATAGATTGTGCAGACTATAGTCGCGCTTGCAGTTACACAGAAACCAAGAACATTCACTACTATCTCCAAGGCCGAAAGACTGTGTCTCACGTCTGATGCAACAGCTAGTGTTCTGAGCATTATTCCCCTGCAAATAACCAAATAACACACAAAGTTAAAGATTCTGCAGAACTTGTCTTCACGTAGAAACAAAGATATAATATGTAGAGAGAGAGAGGACATATACGTGTAGATGGAGACAAAGATCTCAGGAACCATTCCAACAAGTGAGCCTAAGATGTAAGGACCGTAGTGAACTCCAGTAGCCAATGCGCAGTAGTTGTAAATCATGTAAGGAAATGGAGAGACACGAATCAACGTGACAGCTTGAAACTGATGAAACCAGGTTCCCTCACCTGCAGCTCGAAGTATGGCTGCTTTTTCCGGGTATTTCTTCAACCATTCCTGCAGGAAAAGACAAGTAATAATTGATCATCTCAATAAGTATGTATACAAAAGAGCGCATAAGGATGATGCTTACTTGCATCTTGTGGCGGAAGAGATGTCCGATTAGGAAAGGAAGAGTAACACCGATTGATGCTGCTGATATAATCAGCAGAAACCCTTTTACATAACCAAAGGTAAGACCAGCCATCCACATGGAAGGTGAGGAAGGAAGAAGAATGGTTGGGAACAATGCCACTGAAGCAAAGAGGAGAAGTCCAAGTACAGGGATGCTGAATGTGCTTCTCACCCATTTTATAAATGGAATCAATACCTGGAATCCATACACATAGCAAACACAATTGAGGGAATAACTTCACGTTGCTCATCTCAAGAACTGTATAATACCAAATTAACAACTAAAAACCCTTTCAAACAACACACATAGATGTTAAAAAAAAACATTAGAACCTAACTTGGTGAGCAATGTGTTTAGCACTACTTGATGGAATCACAGACAGGAAGCATGTAAGACTACTTTGAAACAACCAGACATGGTACATGAATAAAACCAGACAGAACACAAGACTCATAAATCATCTGGTCATATGTTCTACAGCGCCAAATTTTTTTATTTTTTTTTAATGCTAACAACCTAAAACACGCTCAATCAAAATACACAAGAACCCTAATTTTCAAACATCAAAACCCAGAAACAAAATTAGCTAAACAATCAAACCCATCAGAAACCCAGAATCATTTATACAATACCCAAAAAAACAAAAGAACAAACCTTTTCGATCAAAAATGGAGCAATCCATTTAATAATCACAAAAGCCAAAACACCAACACAAGCAAGAAGGGAGATCAATTTAACCCAAAACCACACAGACGTCACGGAGCCTAACGAACATCCCCTCGATGATCCTTCTTCTTCTTCATCATATTCATCAGATCCTCCTCTTAATTTCACATAATCTCCTCCATTCTCTGGATCCTCCATTCTCAATTTCAGCTCAGGCACCGTCTTATCGACGCCATCGCCGTACGTCATCGATCCAACCAAAAAAAAACCAAAACTTTCAATGAGAAAAAAAACCTTAAAAACGTCTCCGTCAGATTCGTTGTGGACCTCTGTTTTCTCCTTCGGTTTCCCGAGAAAAATCAAGAGAGTAATAACGGAAGAATGAGACCGTTGGATCAAAATTGATATGAGAGAGAGCGAGTCGAATTTGGGTTTTTTAGATTCGATTAAAAAGAATCTGAATTATTCGCTTATCTTTTTTTTTATTATTAAAGGTTCTAAAACTATAATATCCGAATAATTAGTGTGGTTTTACGTAAATACATTATTAAACCGGTGTCGTGGTCGGTCGGACAGGTGGAGTCGTATGATTTGTAATTAGTGAGTTGCTGAGTCAGTTGCTTTTTTTTTATATTCGCTGTCACGATAAGTCTATTATGTATGTGTGTTTTCTTCTTTTTCTAGCGGCACATATATATTTTTTAGGGTTTTAGGTTACTACATAAAGATAGCAGCGCAACGTTAATTTATGAGTTAAGATTGTATTCTATTTTTTTTTTATATATGTATTCTAATTTTATATTAGCGTACTTTATGTAGAATCGAACTGGAATTAGTTGCTTGAAAGCAATACGTATAGGAAAGAAAGAATAAGAGAAACAAGACAATGAAAAGCAACCAAAGTTGATACTTCTAAGCAAATTTTAAAAGAAAAAAATCCTTATTAGAAATGTAAGTTTCTTATGATTAGTTGGACATGTCGATAAAGCAAAACTCTTTACCTAGAGATATATTGATAGACAGATACGTTATCACGAAACAGTTGTTTTAGATGTGGTGGAGATCATAATAGTCATGTCCGTTAGATGATGATGGTGTGTTAAGACTTAAGACTAACACAATTTCTATAGTAATCCTGCTTTATTTTCTTCGTGTGTTCATCTTGTATCGGATATTAGAGCATCCCCATTGAGAGTTCAAATGGGGGGTTCACACGGAAACCAAAAAAATAAAATAATAAAATAATAAAAATTTATAAATCCTTCTCTCCTAAAGTTCACCCGGGTGAACCCCTCTCTCCTAAGGTTCAACACGTGTCGGCCCGGGATTGATATAGGTCATTTTTTTTCTTTTTAAAAAAAAAAAAAAAATTCAAAAAAAAAACAGAAAAATTTTAATAATATAAAATTGATGTGGATGCTCTTAAGCGACTTGGGTCCTGATTTAGGTCTTTATCTAGACTCTAGAAATAAATGTTCTTCCATTTCCGAGTCAAAGAAGACTTCATTATCTCAACGGTAAGATCTGGATACTTACGAACGAAAGACTTGAACTCAGCTGTGTTACAAATCGCCAATAAATTCCTTAAGACAAACCTGACCGCAGCATTGTTGAGGGCTTCGTTAAACGGAGTCAAAGACAGGTTCAAGATACTGATAACATTCGCCAATTTCGAAGATGATATCAGTTCTTGTCTGCATAGACAGAGCCGTGCGAAGGTTTATAGCTACCATAAGCGAGAGAAATTTTTTTATAAAAGCTTCTACATTAAAAATAGTAATACCAATTACAATAAGGTAGAAAGATATCAATTAAAGTGATAAACAAATATTATTTACTTTTACAAAACAATTTTTTTAGTTGGATTTAGAGACTCAGTCAATGTTTTTTTTTGAGAAATAAAATCAGTCAATGTTTCTTATGCATTACTCAAAAATGGCACAGTATTATCTGGTGTAGCCTTACAAACATTTAGAGAGCCTCTAACTGTATTCTACTTTGAGTATTTTCTAATAGTTAGCAACTGTTTACATTTTGTTATTTAAGAAACTCATATTTTTTTATCATACTTCCAATTTTTTCTTTATTCTAGTTACCCAAATGCTATGAAACATTTTGTTTACATTTGTTATTTATGAAACTCATATTTTTATCATACATAAACTAATGATTTTTAATAATTTGTTCTAGTCATAGATGATGCCTTTAATTTTTTTATAAAAATCTGTTGCCCTAAGCGAGTGTTTAATTTGTTCTCACCGAGGCACGGCTCTGTGCATAGATCCCTTAGATGCGGAATATCATATTTGTCCGCTGCTACAAAAAGTGTTCGAGCATGTTTCTTCCCCTTTTCAGAAAGTACAGATCCATTTTCGTAGATGAATTCGACCAAAGCCTCCAACTCCTCTTGTTTCAGCTCCGAGAGAGTTACCGTCACGATGTCTCCAACCGTAGCTTTGAACTTGTCTGATTCCAGCATCTTCTTAAACACCTCTGATCGTGCCGCCCATTAAAAGAATATACATATGTTCAGAACTAACATTTCAAGTAAGATCCAAACACTAAAAATAAGCATTCATATAAGACGTGTTTCAAAAAAAAAAAAAAACATTCATATAAGACAAAAACATTAGAAGAAAAATAAAAGACCAAAACAAGTTTACTGCCTGTTTCCTGCCTTGAGACGTACGTCTACTTGCCATTGTTCATTAAAGACCTTTGCAAACCCACCCAAGAAAATTTCATGATTGTTCTGCGTTGTCATAACTATCAGTATAAGGTAAAACTTGAAGTTGATTACGTAAACGCTGGTGAGTTATATAGAGAAAACCTCATACGCGTACGCCCGTCAAAATGTCTCTTCATTAATGATCATAAATTATCATACACTGCATGTCCCAAGTCCCAACTTTCGGTTGCCCGATGCTCTTTTAAAAATATAAAATCTTTTACAAATTTTAAAATACTGTTTCAGTCTATTTTTATTACCAAACTAGATTTCCAAAAGTTTATAAAATCTTTTAAAAAAACTTATACATTTCTAATCAATATCAGTTGTTTCCTTTTCATTTCTACAAATTTTAAAAATCAGATTTAGTTTTAATTTTTGATAAGCATGCAATTTTTATTGCATTTTTATAAATTTACTAGGTGTTGTGCCCGCCATGCGGGCATAATATTCTTACCAATATCAATCAATATGATAAATTTATTATTATTGCTTTCTCAAAAATAAATATTTTTTATGTTCTCAAAAAGTTTAAATCAAATTATTTATATTTGATAAATTTTTTTTATCGAAATATATATTGTACCCACATATTTTAGGTTGAAATTTAAATTANTACTAGGTGTTGTGCCCGCCATGCGGGCATAATATTCTTACCAATATCAATCAATATGATAAATTTATTATTATTGCTTTCTCAAAAATAAATATTTTTTATGTTCTCAAAAAGTTTAAATCAAATTATTTATATTTGATAAATTTTTTTTATCGAAATATATATTGTACCCACATATTTTAGGTTGAAATTTAAATTAAAAACCCACATATTAGAAATATTTTAGAAAATATCATTATACAAATGTTATTGATTAAGTAATATTTAATTTAGATTGTTTTATATTTATATTTTTAATTTTGTAATAAAATAATATTATTTTCAGATAACAACACAATATCTGTAAAAATTATCTTATTTTTGTAATATGTATTAGTTTGAAAATTATCATAATCAAATTTTAAATGTTTCTAATAGAAAAATATTATTTCAAGATAACAACACCATATCTATAAGAATTATCTTATTTTTGTAATATGTATTACTTTGAAAATTATCATATTAGTTTATAATTAATAATCTAATATAACATATAAATCTAATATTATTATTATTATAAATTCGTTTTTAATATATAATAAATTATATAAAATTCATTAAGGGTATAAACGATATTAACCAATCTAACTTATTATCATATTTTCAATTTTCTCTTTTCAATTATATACAATTAAAAATTTTACTTTATGAATACTTATTTATGTGTTTTCTGTTTTTGAATTTCTTTTATTAAAACATATTTTCCGGATAACAACATAATATATATAGGAATTATCTTTTTATTTTTAAATATATATTAAAATTATGGATAATTCTTATCATTAATAAATATTTAAATCATTTATCTAATCAAATAAATATTAAATTCGTTTTTATTTTTTGCTGATTTATATCTTTTATTCATTAAGGGTAAAATAGATATTAACCGCTTCAACTTTTAACGTGAGAGCTCCATTGCGAAAAATCACTTCGCAAATAATAGTATAGATANATATATTAAAATTATGGATAATTCTTATCATTAATAAATATTTAAATCATTTATCTAATCAAATAAATATTAAATTCGTTTTTATTTTTTGCTGATTTATATCTTTTATTCATTAAGGGTAAAATAGATATTAACCGCTTCAACTTTTAACGTGAGAGCTCCATTGCGAAAAATCACTTCGCAAATAATAGTATAGATACTATTTAATTTAATATATCATAATTCAAAGAAATAAATGAAAAACTATCTAAAATTATAATTATAAATATATATACATATCTATTCTTAAATAAAATTAAAACTAAATCAAATCTTTTATTTATCTTAATTTTATGTTTAACTAAATTAAAAATTATATTAAAAATATTGATACAAAAATAAAAAAATCTAAAATAATAACAAAAAATTATTTTAAATATAACTTAAATTTTAAAAAAAATTATTGGTGCACATGGTGCAGGAAAATACATAGGAAATAATAAAGGGAATTAAAGAAAATGTGGGTCAATCTAGCTCTGTAGATATATTTCTACAAACAAAACTCATGAACAAGCTGTGGTTTGTGTCTAAAACATGTGTAGCTTGGATAGCTCTGAAAATAAAGAAGTGAAGAAGCTTAGAGTTTATGTGTATTATATATTGTGTATAGAACCGTATAAGAATTAGAGATTTCTTTGGTTTGAGAGATAGTGTCTCCTGAAATTGAACGAATAACTGATTTTGCTTACTTCCACGTGGAGAAATTCGTGTTCTTATTGCTTTAAGTTGGTTTTTAATTACTTGGAGTAAGTTTCAATCATTAGAAGTTGCTGGACTTAGAATAAATGGAGCTTGTACATAACTTATGGTAGATAAAGTGAAGCTGTCAAAGTAGTATTAATGTATAAAACAATGGGCGAATCGTAGACGTCTAGGCTTTTGGGCGATAGTTTCCTGGATTGTTTTCTTTTTCTAGCACTATGCTTAGTAGCATTTGAGGTGTTACACAAGTCAGGTGTTGGGCTAGGATCGATATTCAGGTTTGTTGTCGATGATGTTAAGATGTGTATAAGATTAAGATTATGTGGTTTATGAAATCATCTTACCTGACACTGATCTTTTATCTTTATCTCTGTGATGTATATGTTGACTTGAGAAGTTTTTGAGTGCAGTTATTAAGCTAATGGGATCTTTTGACTCGTTGTGCAAATGCGTTTTCAGTGAAGCCAAAAAGATATATTAACTCGGACTCGTTGAAGAGGTTGAGATACAGTATGAAATGATATAAGTTGTGTTTTGCCCTTTAGTATGGTAAACTGTTCCTTTCACAATAACTTTCTTTGATGGTTACAGTTAAAATCATGGGTCCATTATTCCAAATCTGATCAAACAATTTCCAAAAGTAAAGAGGGGAAATTAACTCACTACGTATAAAAATTTAAGAAATAACAAATGAACATGTAGACCTTGTACCTTTAACTTTGAACCATGTTTTGCCCTTTTTACTATATGTTTTATATTTTTGATCTTTCAAAAATGGTGGGAAGATGGAAATTTTTACTGCGACATTGTATCTTGAAGGAAACTAATTTCAGCCGATGATGTAATACCATATGATATGACATTGCATCTTTGGTGTAGACTTTTGCAATTCCTGAGTTTGCACCAGAAAACATATACTTTTTATATGAACTTGATTTTTCGATTGGGATAATTTCATGTTTGCTGTTGCCAACTTTTGCATATCATTGTCCAGTATGGTCCATAGTAACAATAACAAAAATTTCATAAATCAGGAAACGATAATACAAAAGTGACTTTTTTATAGAACGAGCAAAAGCCTCTTTTTTTCTTGCTTGAAGAGAATTCCAAACTTGTGAAAGTCTCGTTGATGAAGGCCCCTACATAATAAGTACATATAGTTTGAGTGCTTTGAATAATTTGTCTTCTTTATACATCAATGCCGCAGTATACAAAAGCACGAGACGACATTTATAAAAAAAAATCATTTCACATTTGATTATAAACATATACTCGATTGAGGTAACGAGACAAAGCCATGACGTTTGGATCAGGTCTGACAGAACTAGGATTCTCACAAAAAAACATATCATACAGTATCTCAATTGGAACAACTGTTTTTGGCGACTTCTAAAATTGTCATCTTAATACCAATCCAACAATGAGCTGATTGTTCACTAGTTTGTATTTTGTATAATAGAATCCGACTGTGCACAAAAAAAAAAAGAGAATCCAACAATGACATAAATCAAAATTTTAAGGTCATAATATGAAACCGAAAAGTTCATTTCACCTTTTAATTGGTTCATTTCACCTTCTTTTTAAAAAAGGGCACATTCAAAATTTTGAATGGAAAACTTTGGGGGTGATTTGACAAATTTACTTTTTCTATGGGGTCCTTTTTTTGTTGTGAACAACATTATGGGGACCTTTAAATCACTTTAATTGTCGTCGGTATTGCCTTTTTGTTTTGCCTTTATCCCTTTTTCAGTCCAAAATCTTTCCTTCTGTGTTATCTTCCTCTACTTATATGCTTTTTAGAAAAAAAGGAATTCAAACTAATATTTTAAAAATTCATTCAAATTAGTCCATCTCTAACAAAAATTTAAAATTGGTCCTACCAACACCAAGATAAATCATACTTTAAGTTTAACCCATAATAAGGATATCTAAGATAGTCCTTGTTTAAATGTGAAATGACAAAAATAAGAATCGATATAACAATAAATACGGCTAATAAAACACACATTCACGAACCTAACTAAATGGTTAGAGAGAGAGCATTTAGAATGGTCACATCTCTCTCGCTCTCGTGAATGCTCATATACAGTTTTGTTTCGCATTATTAATAAATGATATTCACGCGGAACAACCACGAAACGTAGCAGTATAATAACCACACGGGTAAATAACGGGACCAGTAAAAGGGGCATTAATGTCACAAAAACATTACAGTAACTTTTTAGAATAAATATAGGCCCCACTTGATTGTATAGTTTTAACTGTGTCTAACCACACACGATTCCCTCCACTTCACACTATACCACACGGAGACAAGACACAAACTCTCTCTCTCTCTTGTAAATTTGTGAGCAGTTGTTTGTTCCGAGAAATCAAAAGGAATTTTCTGGGGGAAACCAAATCGAGTAAACCGGTAGAGAAGAAGAAGAAGAAGCTTCTCTCTGTTTTCTGTTAATCGAGAAGGAATGTCTACTGTGAATCACAGAAACGGTACTCAAAGAAGCTCTCTCAGAGCTCACTCCTCCTCTGCACAGAAACCTTCTCTTAAATCCAAGACTGTGCTTCGGAAAAGCAGCCCCGCCGCACTCGGTGTCGGCTCCTCCTCCTCCGCCGCCGCAGGTTCTAAGTCTGGAAACGGCGCCGACGCTGGTGGTAAAAAAAAAAAAAGAAAAACTTCTCTGTTCATATTTTTTTTTGTGTACCTAGAAATTTAACTGTTAGGTTTACTACAGTAATTAAGAATGTCACTGGATCATGATCTGTGTTTTTTTTGGTTATTGCATGATGCTTTTTTTTAGTTCCTGGGAGAGTTCGTGTAGCTGTTAGGTTAAGGCCACGCAGTGGCGAGGAAATGATCGCTGATGCTGATTTTGCTGATTGTGTTGAGTTACAGCCTGAGGTACAGTGATCTACAAAAGCTAAGCATGTGAATTGAAAATGTGGAGAGAGCTTGCATCAGTTTATATGTTTGGTTCTTTTAGGTAAAGAGGCTGAAACTAAGGAAAAACAATTGGGACACTGATACTTTTGAGTTCGATGAAGTGCTCACTGAGTATGCTTCTCAGAAGCGAGTATACGAAGTTGTGGCAAAACCTGTCGTCGAGGTGCTTATAGAAACTCTCTTCCTCTTGTCTGCTTAATCATTTTAGATTATGGTTTTACCTTCTTCTTTTTTATGCCTCTTTGTGTAGGGTGTTTTGGATGGTTACAATGGGACGATAATGGCGTATGGTCAGACCGGTACTGGTAAGACATATACACTTGGACAGCTCGGGGAAGAAGACGTAGCTGATCGTGGCATAATGGTCCGTGCTATGGAAGATATTTTAGCTCAAGTCTCCTTGGAGACTGATTCTATATCTGTCTCTTATTTGCAGGTGTCGTTATATTTCTTGGTTATTCTTTTAAGTTTCATCATGTGTGTTTTTCTTGGAATGTTTTCTATAATGTATTTGTAAATGCAGCTGTATATGGAGACTGTACAAGACCTTCTTGATCCAGCTAATGATAACATTGCCATAGTTGAAGACCCGAAAAGTGGAGATGTTTCTCTTCCAGGTGCTACCTTGGTGGAAATTAGGGATCCACATAGCTTCCTGGAACTACTTCAACTCGGAGAAGCTCACCGGTTTGCTGCTAACACCAAACTCAACACCGAGTCTTCCCGTAGTCATGCTATCTTAATGGTGTGAAATATTACTGATCCTGTTTTTTGTTTGTTTATAGAGTGTTGTCTTTTGCATATTCATCTCGTCAACTCAAAAAATGCAGGTTAATGTCAGACGCTCTTTAAAGACAAGTGAAAGTAATGGAAACTCCCACATGTCTAAATCTCTCAAGCCTCCTGTTGTCCGGAAGGGGAAGCTGGTTGTGGTGGATCTTGCTGGCTCGGAACGTATCAGTAAATCAGGAAGTGAAGGACATACACTGGAGGAAGCCAAATCTATTAATCTCTCTTTGAGTGCACTTGGCAAATGCATCAATGCACTTGCTGAGAACAGTTCTCATGTTCCGTTCCGTGATTCAAAGCTAACCAGATTGCTTAGAGATTCATTTGGAGGCAAGTTATTCTCTGCTTTTTGTGTTACTATTAGATGAATATACTCAGCTAGTCATTAGCTCAATTTGGAGGTCCCCAATTCGAGTGACCACTGGAACAAAATTAATATTACATGTTGTGGTTTTTGGACCTCTGCTGTCATAATCCTTTCCAACTGTTACTATGTTGACTTGCTTGACAATCTGGCCTATGATGTTAACAGGAACTGCAAGGACATCCTTGGTTATTACAATTGGTCCATCACCACGACATCGAGGGGAGACAACAAGCACTATAATGTTTGGTCAAAGGGTAGGGACCATAGCTTTTGTGTGAATCCTTTTTTCTTGTTATGATGGCTACGTTTAAATTGGGTAATTATTAGGCAATGAAAGTGGAGAATATGGTGAAGTTGAAGGAAGAGTTTGATTACAAAAGCTTGTCTAAAAGGCTTGAGTTACAACTAGACAATCTAATTGAGGAAAACGAAAGGCAGCAGAAAGCATTCGTTGATGAAATTGAAAGAATAACCGTAGAGGCACATAACCAAATCTCTGAGGCTGAAAAGAGATATGCCAATGCACTAGAGGTACGTGAGTTTTTCTTGTAACGGTGATGAAACATAACCAGGAGCTGATGATCATATCTTTTGTGTGTAGGATGAAAAGCTAAGGTATCAGAATGATTACGTGGAATCAATAAAGAAGCTGGAGGAGAACTGGTCAAAGAACCAGAAGAAGCTTGCAGCTGAAAGACTTGCACTCGGAGAGAAAAATGGTCTGGACGTCACATCAAATGGAAATGTAACATCTCTATCTCTCGTCATGTATGATTTTTGTTCACCCTTACAGATATAATCTCGCGAAACCTGATTTCTATATCCTTTTTTCAAAGAGATCCATTGCTCCAGCCTTAGAGGAAGTCTCTGAACTGAAAAAAATGGTTCAGAAAGAAACTCAGCTGAAGATGGCGGCTGAAGAGGAAGTGAATAGACTGAAACAGCAGCTCTCTGAGTTTAAAAGAGTGGAAGTATGTCCTTAAAGCCTTCCTTGTTTTGGTTTCTCTGTGGATTATTTAGTTTCAACTCAAAGTTTTGTCGGTCTATAACTTGCTTAGGTATCAGGAAATTCTGAGATCATGAGACTCCATAAGATGTTGGAAACTGAGACACAACAAAAAGAAAAACTAGAAGAGGAAATAGCCACGCTGCATACACAGTTACTGCAGTTGAGTCTTACTGCTGACGAGGTAAATAATACACGAAAAAAAAACTATCAAACTTTTAAACAGCTGAATGATCTGAGGGTGCTGTTTTAATCATTCTTTATATATGTTTGGCAGACACGACAAAACCTAGAGAGACATGGTTCACAGAAAACATCTGGTGCTCTAGATTCTTATATGTCTCAGTTAAAACTTCCTCAGCTGCAAGATCCAGGAAACGCAGAGAAACCTCCTGTAGCTAAACTATTTGAACAAGGTACTCTGTAGTGTTTTAAAACCAATGGTTGTTTGTTTTCTGTTCATGCAACAAGAACATATATATGACTTCTTACACTGGTTTTTCTCTTGAAGTTGGGTTGCAAAAGATTTTGTCTCTTCTTGAGGCTGACGATGCTGATGTAAGGATTCATGCTGTCAAAGTAGTAGCAAATTTGGCTGCCGAAGGTTTCCATCTGCAACCTTCTATAGATATATTTTTTAATGCCATTACATATTCAGAGCCTCATCATATCTTTGAACTGTTTATTGTATGTCAAAAAACAGAGGCAAATCAGCAACAAATCGTGGAAGCTGGTGGTCTCACCTCCTTACTGATGCTTCTGAGAAGTACAGAAGATGAAACCATTCACAGAGTTGCTGCTGGTGCAATCGCCAACCTTGCAATGAACGGTAATAAAATGTTATTCTCATGGGTCAATCCACTTAGTTTATTATTCCATATTTTCATTTTTGTTTAGTGAACCAGTTTATGTTTACTTCTTTATTCTTCAGAAACCAACCAGGAGCTGATTATGGATCAAGGAGGCATTGATTTACTGTCATCAACAGCAGCCAATGCTCAGGATCCTCAAACCCTCAGGATGGTAGCTGGAGCCATTGCTAATCTCTGTGGAAACGGTATCTTCTATTCACTACTTTACAAATGAAATAATAATTCATAAACTATTTTTTAATTAATATTTGTTCACACAGATAAGTTACAGACAAAGTTAAGATCAGAAGGAGGAATTGCAGCGTTGTTGGGAATGGTTAGATGTGGACATCCTGATGTGCTTGCACAAGTTGCTCGTGGAATTGCAAACTTTGCTAAATGCGAGTCAAGAGCATCAACTCAAGGTATGAGTTTTATCCAAATATTCTCGTTGGCTAAACATCTCATCATCTAAAGATTTATTGACTTAAAAATGCACCAATAAGCAGGAACTAAGAGAGGGAAATCACTATTAATAGAAGACGGTGCACTCTCTTGGATTGTTCAAAATGCCAAAACTGAAACAACAGCTATTAAGCGTCACATCGAATTAGCTCTCTGCCACTTAGCACAACACGGTAAGTGTATTGGTTTGCATCAATTAAAAACTGAGGAAGCATGCCATTGTAACATAGTATATTGAGATTTGCAGAAGGGAATGCGAAAGAGATGGTTAAGGAAGGAGCAATATGGGAACTGGTGAGGATCTCAAGAGAATGTTCGAGAGAAGACATAAGAAGTCTTGCTCATAGGACTCTCACTTCAAGTCCCACTTTTCTTACTGAACTTAGACGTCTACGTGTTGATATCCGGTAAAAGCGGTTTTAACTTAACTTAGACGTCTTTGTTGTCTGATTTTGATTTTCTTTCGGTTTAGGATGGTTTGTGATTTTCTTCTTGGCTGTGGCTTTTTGTTTGTTCGAACGTGTATATTATTTTGGTGGGTTTTGTTTGTGTATATTGACGTAGTAATTAATGCAAAATTATAATAAATTATGCTTCAGTTTTTCCGGATAGTTTGTTTTCGATTAATTTGTTTCATCTGGCAACCAGTTCAGCTCTCAAGAAGAGCATTGTATACATACTTTAATATTAACTAATTGTATACATACTTCAGTATTAACTATACGTAAACGAAATCAGTGTTCTAAAAATAGATGTTTAGTCGGTAGATCGGAGGAGCTAAACAAAACAACTTTCTAAATTTGATTTTTTCAAAAGTTGGTATAAACACGCGAATCAATTTCTAGGCGTCCGCCTAATTAGCAACTTTTTAAACAATGAACGAAACATTTTTGATATATAAACATATTTTTAGTTGAAAGTGATCAATGCAGCCTCACAACGCATACTGCGAATACATATATAAGTGGTGCGATTGAACTAGCGGTTGAACTACGACTCAAACAAGGGCTCTTTAAAAGTTCGGATGCTGATACTGTGACAACTGGAAATTCACAGCTCGTCAATTTGTCTTGTGGAGATTGGAAAGTTGTTAAAAGATAAGATATTGGATTTGAAGGAAGCCAAGCATATCAATAACCCAGATGGAGGAGTCAGTGAAAATTTACATGTTAGGGATTATGGTCGATGCGCTGCAGCATTGTGAGCTTCCACGAAATGAGTTATCACACATACACGAATCACAATATCTTCCATATATAGAAGTATGTTTTAAAAGAAAAATCATATAAATTAGAGAGACGGTTATTATTTTTATTTTTTTGAACAACGAGAGTTATTCATGAGTTCATCTATGCACAATTCCAAAAAGAAAATATATATACCAAAATTTATACATAGAATGTGATAGGGTATTGGTCCATATCAAGTTTATACATAGAATGTAATAGGCTGTACATGCTAGCCCTCGTTTGTAAGTCCAATCAACATTCAAGCCCATGAGAGTCATACAGCGAAGGCCTAGGACAAGCCCACTACCATTCAACGGTCATCCTCTCAAGCTTTGTCCTGTTGCATAACAGAGAGAGCGTGTACGGAAAGGCAAAGTGTGCACACTCGTAATACCTTCAGCCCTCTCTTAACGTTATGTGCAGCTGGATAAGATTCACTTTAGCTGTTATCCTTCCAGCTGTTATAGTCTAGAGTATTCCAAGACCATGTNAAGGCAAAGTGTGCACACTCGTAATACCTTCAGCCCTCTCTTAACGTTATGTGCAGCTGGATAAGATTCACTTTAGCTGTTATCCTTCCAGCTGTTATAGTCTAGAGTATTCCAAGACCATGTATAAAGAGGTCATCGTCCTCATTGTATAAGTCAAGTAATAAAAGTATTATTCAGAGAAATATCTTAACTTTCATATGGTATCAGAGCTCTTGTTGAAGTTGTCGGCTAAATAGATCCACACTTCTCTGGATGTCTTTAATGAAGATCTCTTTCCCTTCAAAGATCAGTACAAAGAGTTGGTTCCTCGGTATGCCACTCCTCTGTTACACGCTTGGCAGTCTGCTACTAAAGACGATGCAACTCAACCTCCACTGGAACATGTTCCAACTTTGATACCTGCTCCATTACAACAAGTGATTCCTCCAACTGCAGAAGCTCAAGAAAATATCAATAATGATCTTCCTCCGGCAATTGTTCCTCAACCTGTAGTTGAAGCTGTGGTTCCTAATCAACACCCAATGCAGACTCGAGCTAAAGCTGGAGTTCGTAAACCAAATATGAGGTATGCTTTACTTGCTCCTAAGTACTCTGTAGCAATTCCCAAAAACATCAAAGAAGCGATGCTACACCCCGGTTGGAATGCTGCTGTTCTGCAGGAAATGAACATTATACATATGTTGCATACATGGACGTTAGTACCTGCAACAAATGATATGAATGTTCTACGAAGCAGATGGGTTCACACAGTAAAACTCAATCCAGATGGGACGGTCAAGAACTTGCGCTCAAGACTAGTAGCAAAAGGGTTTGAGCAGGAAGAAGGAGTAGACTTCTTGGAGACATTTAGTCCGGTTGTGAGAACTGCCACCATCAGATTAATGCTTGATATTGCAGTATCAAAAGGTTGGGAGGTCAAGCAATTAGATGTTTCAAGTGCATTTCTTCATGGTGAGTTACAAGAACCTGTTTATATGTATCAACCTGAAGGGTTTGTTGACCCACAGAGACCACATCATGTCTGTAAACTCACCAAGGCTCTGTATGGACTCAAACAAGCACCAAGGGCCTGGTTTGATACTTTCAGTAACTTTCTCATTGACTTCGGCTTTGTGTGCAGCAAATCCGATCCGTCTCTCTTCACTTACAACAGAGGAAACAAGACGATGATTCTGCTACTCTATGTTGATGATATCTTATTAACTGGAAGTGAGTCGGCACTTGTCCAACGTCTTCTGAATGCCTTATCTCAACGCTTTGCTATGAAGGATCTTGGTGTCCCTCAATATTTTCTTGGTGTAGAAATGATCACACATCCCGGTGGATTTTTTTTGCATCAGAATGCGTATATAAAGGAGATTCTTCATGTTGCTGGTATGACTGATTGTAATCCAATGAATACTCCTCTTCCTCAACGTGTAGAAGACATTGATCCTACCCTGTTTCCGGAGCCTACATTCTTCAGAAGTCTTGCTGGCAAGCTCCAATATTTGACCATTACCAGACCGGATATCCAATACGCAGTTAATCTAGTCTGTCAGAGAATGCATGCTCCAACCATGACAGACTTTGGTCTCTTGAAGAGGATACTACGGTATTTGAAAGGTACGCAGCAGCTTGGTCTTCACATCAAGAAGGACAAAAACCTATCTCTGTTGGCATATTGTGATAGTGACTGGGCAGGGTGTCAGGAGACAAGGAGATCAACAACCGGTTTTTGCACCTTCCTCGGATCCAACCTCATCTCATGGTCAGCTAAACGACAGGAGACTGTCTCGAGATCCTCTACTGAGGCAGAATACCGCGCCTTGGCATCTACTGCTCAGGAGATAACCTGGATCTCTCAGCTCCTACGTGATCTAAACATATCTCAACCTCACGCTACACTGTTTTTGTGTGATAATTTGTCTGCAGTGTACTTGAGCACCAATCCTGCGTTGCACAAGAGGTCCAAACACTTTGATACAGATTGGCATTACATCAGGGAACAGGTGGCGTTGGGGTTGATCGAAACAAGACATATCTCAGCTGAGTTTCAGATTGCAGACATATTTACTAAGTCCCTCGCTCGACGTCCGTTCCAGTTACTGCGTACCAAACTTGGCGTGGAAGTAAATCCCATCCCAAGTTTGAGGGGGGATGTAAGTCCAATCAACATTCAAGCCCATGAGAGTCATACAGCGAAGGCCCAGGACAAGCCCACTACCATTCAACGGTCATCCTCTCAAGCTTTGTCCTGTTGCATAACAGAGAGAGCGTGTACGGAAAGGCAAAGTGTGCACACTCGTAATACCTTCAGCCCTCTCTTAACGTTATGTGCAGCTGGATAAGATTCACTTTAGCTGTTATCCTTCCAGCTGTTATAGTCTAGAGTATTCCAAGACCATGTNAAGGCAAAGTGTGCACACTCGTAATACCTTCAGCCCTCTCTTAACGTTATGTGCAGCTGGATAAGATTCACTTTAGCTGTTATCCTTCCAGCTGTTATAGTCTAGAGTATTCCAAGACCATGTATAAAGAGGTCATCGTCCTCATTGTATAAGTCAAGTAATAAAAGTATTATTCAGAGAAATATCTTAACTTTCATATCGTTGCCATAACGAGCTTGGTCCACTGGTTTTTATTTATAATATAGACATGTTTCATAAAGTTTTTGTAACGTGCATGTGGATATTATATAGTAATTCTATGTTTTGGTATGGAAAAAAACTTAACGCTTAACCTTTATTCTGCATTTCATTTGTCTTTCCGATTTCTTATAGAACTCATGTAAGGGCATCTTTATCGCAGTAGATAAACAAGTTTCTTAGCATAAAAAGTGACTGTGGACCCCAGCAACATTGTCAAAACCGGTAACAGAAGTAACCAACTAAGAGCATGTTTATTGATAAAACCCTTAAATGGTTCTTAGTGAATATTTTACTATTATAATTAAGATAAGAGACATTGTTAAGAGACACTTAAATTAAGTGGTTTATTGGTAGTAGCTTAGTTAAGGTTCTTATATGTGGCAAACATGTAAAATTTGCACTTCGTATCAATGCATGTAATAGTTCAAGAAAATGCTGAGTAACTGAAGCATGTTCTTCAAAGATTGTCTATAACTAGAGAACTATAGCTATCTTCTATCAACAGAATGAACAAGAGACGCCAATTCCAAGCTCCGAGCTTCTTCTTTCTCTTCATCAGAATCTTCTCCCATGATCTCACCAGGAATCTTGAACGTGTTCTGATCTCCATTAGGCACAAGAAACAGAACAAAGAGAGGCGAAACTCTCAACACATTCCATAATAATAGATGTGATATTGATTAAAGTGGTGAAGTGTTCTTACAAGGTCACCCCCCCCCCCATTTCTTGTGTTTTTTTTTCAGATGTTGTCAGTTGCTTTAGTTGCAGTTGGTGTCGTAGCTTGCAAATGTTCAAAAGGTCCTCCTGTTGGGATGGTTCCACACAAATCATTGCTTGACACATCACTGAGAAATGATGACAAAGAAATATGTTTTTAGGTAAGAGCATAATAGGTTGGATAAAAGGGGTTAATAGATTGGGTATCAGAGAGCAGCAACAGAGCGTTTAGCAAACAAGCTTGAAAATGAAAAAGCTGAACTTACACAACTTTGAGGCTTGGGATTTTCGTGAGTTCTCTAGGGATTGGACCAGTCAATTGGTTGTCATTGAGCCGTCTGCACCATTAAAAAGATTATTAGAGAGGCCGAGGTATGAAGAGATGGCATAAGAAGAATCAGTTATTGAGTCATATCACATGATGAACACCTAGCATCACTTCTGTGATCGACCACCGCAATTTTTTGTGTGAAATGCAGAGTAGAGATAGTTCCTTCAGCATATAATTTTTTCAGAATGTTAGAAAAACTTACAGAAAGACCAGAGACTTCAGTTTCCCCAAAGAAGTAGGAATCTTTCCTGTAAGATTGTTGTTATAGAAATCTAAGCTGATGAGATCTAGCCGCAACAGTAGCCGTCGTCTCAGAGAGACACAGAGAGATCGTCGGACGCCGCTTCGAGGAGAGACACCGATAGAAAGGGATCCGTGTTCCTTCCTCGCTGAGACCCACCGATAAAGCCGTCCTCGAGGAGCCACAGAGACGAAATCGCCATTCAAATCGTTTTTCAGAGAAGACGAACAGAAAGAGAAAGAATTTTTTTTTTTTGTCGTAACCCTCCTCTCCCCAGTAGAACGCGACACGTGGCTGGTAAGGAACGCCCCTTCGTTCCCTTAACTAAGTAACGCCCCTTCCTTTAATCCGATTTTTTCTTTATTTTTAAATCCCAATTATGTTAAGTATCCCTTTTAAGGGACCCCAATAAACCTGCTCTAAGGATCGATAATGGAGAGTTTGTTGCACTGTTTGCGGGTTCCACCGACAGGTGGCGACCCGTAATTGGTTCGATTTTTAATTTTTTTTTTTTTTTTTTAGAGAAAAAGAAGAATGTTTAAGAAACCCAAAAACAGTTTTAGGGATAATCATGGTCTAAAGAGCAAAACAAAACGTCAATATTTGTCAATGTTACAAACAGAATATGTTATGAACTCTCATCACCTCAGAACTCTAGGTAATGATCACTGAGCTGTGATATTAACTTGAAATTATAGGCATATTACACCAATATCCGGATTTGACAAAAAAAATTATATCTATACCATCCACAAACACGCACGATTTGGATATATGCCGGCATGAAGTAGCGTTGTCGAATTTCTTCAGCATTATAGAGAATATACTCTTCAAACAGGTTTACATTTATCAAAATAGTAAATTTAAAAACAAAGTCGTCTATTATAATAGTGAGCATAAACAAAGTCATGTATTAAAAATCAATCAGAGGTTGACTAGAAAAAAAAAATAACTTAAACTATCAGCCTACAATACAAGTTGACATATTAGAAGTATTATAAAAATAAACTCTCAAGCGGCATGAGAGGGAAGTGGTGTGTACGGTTCACCACTCCTAATTACTTGTGTGTGCTTCTAGCCTTCCACTTCGTCACTACTCAACAGCTAACACATAACATAGATCATGCTGTAGTTCTGATAATTTTATTTATTATTTTTCTTTTGGCGTTGTATATGCAGTTGTCAACCTATTTTTTATCATCAAAAGTCAAATCCTGTATTATCTTAAGCACTTTTTGTGAAACATAAGTCAAACCCATCTCTTTCTTGAACATTCTCAAATACATCTGGCCTCATTATTTAGGTTTAATCTTCAACATCCCTCAAAGGCTCAAACATTGACTGGTATACGGCTCAACATTTTACTTGTGCTATTAAGCATATGATTAATTCAACTTATTCGTTTCCAAATCATTGTCTCATGCCGTTTATTGGTTTATGCTATTGTCGGTGTGGATGTCATTATATTACCCATAATATATGATGTATGTAGTTAACACCGTATATCAATATTTACATAAAAAATAATATACAAATGATGAAATGATACAGTTAACGATCAAGATGAAAGGTAATCTATACATAAACTACATAATCCAAAGTACACATGGATGGTTCAACCCACGAATTCACATTGCATATACAGATTGAAATTATAATGTAATCGTTTGGGAACAAGGTCATGTTTAGCTATCGTGTTCTGCTGTGTTCTATAGAATTTATCGAACTGAGTTTTAAACATTCACTTGGATTAGTCTAAAAGCGTTTTTAGCTTAGTTTAAAAGCGTTTGAATATGTTAGAGGGACATGTATTCATCAATGGACAAAATCTTAGTCAAACTCTGATGGTCGTTTCAATATTAAATTGGACGGCTGAGATTTCATTTAGGGAATATCCTCAGATCCACGAAGTTCTCCTATAACTACGGAGATATGTCGATGCTATATGAGAAGAGTCGACATGCCTTAACCTTATCTTATGTAAAATAGTAGTATAAAATATTAGTCGGCAATGTAGTGGCCAAATCACAAAAAAATACTATTTACAACTGTTCTATCGAAGTAAGTAAACTATATTAATCATATAAAATATCTGTGACTATAATAACAACGGAAAATACATGTTTTTGTCACTTCCGAGGAACAACATGCCCCTTGAGAGTAATGGTGTGATCTTTGCAAAAGTTATAAAACAACTTGATCTCCCCGACTATCCCTAGCAATCATATAATAACCTCTTTAAATAATGTTTAGCATATATACTAATGAACACAGAGGTCGTGCGAATGTCTTCCCGATATTGTGAATCTGAACCTATTTATGATCTCCAAAAAATAAGAAAAACAACTGCAAATTGATTAGACATACAACCGATCCGAGTATCTTACGGAGCCGCAAGTTGACACACAAGCTCTCCTCGATCATAAGTTTCTGATACGCATAATAATACTACTTTAGACTTCTTAGATAGTTGCACTTGAAAGATAAATCTTCTAAGATCAAAGAGAGAGGGAAAGTATATTGAAATTTGGCGCCAAAACACTAACAGTGAGTCAAAAAGCTACACCGAACTCTGTCTCGTCACATGGACTCCTTTTGTCTGGCTTCCATGGTCAACTACGAAATTGCCCTTGCAGAGATTAGGTTAGGTTAGGTTGCACACTTACTATAATAGGATTCTTTTAATACTACGCAACAATTAACAAATTTCCTAAAAGATTAGGGTAAATAATACTCATCCATTATAAATTGTATAGAATAAAATGGAGAATGGTCCTACGAAAATAAGAATGTATGAGCTGTATTGCCACATCAGTAAATTCCCCCACGGGATTTTTCTGTCCATTCAACGTTTCGTTCCTACGAGTTGCTCAAAGGCTGTTTTTTTTCTCGTGGGTTGTGTTTTTTTCCCTTTATACACAATTACTTTTGATAATTGTTTCGAATTATTCTTAAAGAAAGTCACATTATCCATAAAAAATAATATATCCTTTGAGAATTAACGGCACCGACCGACCCGACCCATATATTCTCGTGGACACTCTTCTTTTGGTTGATTCTGTTGCCAAGTTTATCGTAATGATTTTATGACGTTCGGATGACGTTAGCTCCCACCAGCTACCGGTTACTGGCCACTCCCGTTTCCGGCGGAAAATCGTACACCATTTCCCGCTAAAACAGACGTGGAAAGAAGCCAACAAAGACAAAATTTATTTTTGAAAATAGCCAAAATATATATATTATAACAAAAAGGTCTATAATATTATCGACAAATTTTCTTTTGGACGTACGGGAAAGCTCATAATTCTGTTTATTTTAGTAGTTTTTCTAAGATTTTTCGCCAGCATATTTTGATATTTGACATATTTTTTAATTCCTTCGAGGCTCAAGCGATAATAAACTGTTATCGGCACTCGAGCTAATACAAAAAATCGGATTTTAATACTTCTAGCAAATTGATCATTAATGAGACATTAATGATAGGTAAAAGTACATTAACAGCTAATAAATGCAGCACAAGGAATCGTAGTCTTTGTCCCTTAAGCTTATAGTTAAATAAGATCTCTAGTTAAATTGCGGTCCGCACGTCGAAGCATGTATGGAAACTGAAATACTAGTACTTACGGAGAACACTGTTGTCGTCGACGTGGCAAGATCAAGATCGTTTATGATTTTAGATTGTTAAGACATCCTACGTGATTGCACGTGACATGGTTCTGTTCCTTGAGGAGAAAGTGGCCCATACGTGGGCATATTCGTATGTAGTGCGAATGATCTCCTCCTTAGATCCCTTATGTTATACACTTGTTTTTTTTTCCAAATTATACTAGTAGGATATAACTAACAATCCACATATTAATATACGAATCAAATAATTTTTGGAATCTTCTAACTGTAGCCACTTTTATAATATAATTTAACTATAAAAAAAGTTAATGAAATCACGCTTATGGACGAGCATAAATCTCTCCAGTAAAGTTGATACGTGATATTCTGTTTTAGGATTAATTTAAATAAGAACTTTGGTATATAGTCGGTAAATGAGTAATGGTTAGGCCGATAAAATCACCTCATCGACGTGAGAGTCACGCGTGAATTTACTATTCTTCCTATACCACCTCTGGTCCAATTAAATGTTACCACGTGACTAACCCCTGATTCCTCTCGGCTTAAGGACAGTTTTACCCTTCACGACACGCTCAAAAGTGACAGTCTCTCTCTTGCCAGCTTTACGTGGGTCCCGTAAAGATCTTTCTCCTCTTAAAATTGCGCCTCCCGATTCGGAGATTCCCATGATAGGGAAAGACATATTTACCCTTAGAATGCCAGAGATGTCGGAATTCAAAAAATCTACGAGTTTTATTACAGAACACAAGCTTATGGGAAAAGTACGGATCTTCGAAAGCGCTTAGAATACCATACCAGACATCTCTGAACCAAAATCTACGAGGGTTATTACAGAACATAAAGCGTTATGACTTGTGAGAAAGTACGGATCTTCGAGAAGCGCGTAGATCTCATGTGACCACGTTATGAGGTAGGTGTGTAGGGAAGAGAATTCTCATCTTAGCTATGAAGCGAGTATCATTTGACGTGGGACCTTTAGGATTATGACACGTGGCCTACCGTGGCCGTTAGATGAGTGGTTGTCGGGAGGGATCATACTAGAGTGGAAAGCACGCAAAGGCAAAAAAAACCCCATTTAGGACAGGTGGCATCCTAGCTGGACAGTTGAACAACCAGAACAGAGGATCTGTTGACACATGGAGGTTTGGCTGGTTGGTTTTGTTGGTCTTTCTCTATGATGGAATCGCTAACTAATTACGAATGTTTAATAGCTAATTAAACCATTTCGTTGGGATTTAGGTTTGATGTTTTTCATGATTTTATGTGTTGGTAAGTAGTATATAAGTAAATAACAAATTTTAAACGAAGATAATGAACTTACCATGAATAAATTGATAGATAATCCTTTGAGATTTATCGTTTAAAGTTAAATGTAATTCTTTGTTAAGCAGAATTAAGTTAAATACAGTGGCTAACTTTTGAATTTTTAAAGGAGAGTGATGATTATTGAAGCATTCGAAGGTTAACTAGACTATTTCAAAAATGAAACATTATAAGTCGATATCAAGAAGACTTTTAGCATTAGAAACATGCGTGAGTTGTGCCCTTCCATGTGACTCTTATATAATATGCCTAAATAAAATTAAAAAATAATTAAATATGTATTTGTCTATATATAAAAGGAGACCCAGTGTATGGAAGGATTATGTGAAAACGTGCTCTGTATCATCTAGAGAGAGAGAAAAAGTAACAGTCTCAAAAATCAAGAGAGATTAACGGCACCGTTTTGTTTTAAGAGAAACGCTTTTGAAGAGATCGATATTAGTTTTGTTGGTGGTCATCTTTGGTAAGAAGAAGAAGAAACAGAGAAGCTAAAGAAAAAGTTTTTAAGAAAGCGAGGGCGTGTGAATATCAGAAAGATTGAGAGAAATATAGATATGGCGATGAAGGGATATTTGGATGAGTATGAAAAGCTTGTGATTAGGATGAATACTCCAAGGTTTGTTTGATTCTTCTTTTCTTACGATTTTGTTTAGTTTTCTTTTCAAGAACAGAATCTTAAGATTGGAAAAAAAAACAAGAACCTTTGTGCTGGGTATCTAATGATTTGGTGTTTATTTTTTCTGAAATTTTCCTTCCATGTCTCTGAAGATTTTCCTGGAGATTATGAGATTAATATTTTCAAATTAATTTTTGAAATTTCAAAGCTTATTTTTCCACCATCGTTTTATTTTACCTTATTTTTC